ATAGGTTGCTAAAACCATGTCCTCTTTGTGTAGTTGTCTTTGAATCTATATAGATGGATCCTGAGTGATTGTAGTAGCTAGTCTTTTTGAATAATGGATAAGTTTTTGGGTTTTTGTTGCTGAGGAATCGAGCTGGGGCTGAGCAAATTATTTCGTAGTACTAGTACGTACAGTGAAGGAAAACCCGGATCTATTCATCCAGCTCCGCCGTGAACACCTACAGCCAAGCACGGTTCTGTTAAACATCTTCTGTTTCAGACTTTCAGTGATCGAGATGCGTGTTAAGCGTTACGACTCCAGTGAAAAGTGTAGGGAAAAGAAAATATGACTTCCTCCTGTAATATTATATTTTTAATCCGCCATGGATCGAGCACCGCGTGGTCTTCTTCCTTCGTTTTTTCGCTGTTAATTATTATGCACCGATGCGCGGTCCTCGCTAACCTACACCTATATACTAGCCTAGACTACGTACTAACTGTAAGTAGCATCCAGTGCCTCGCTGCCTGTAGGTTCGATTTGTCGGTGTAAACGTACGTAGGAGTACGTGGAGTACGTGCATTACTGCATCGATGAACGCGCGCGGGTACCGGGCTAGCTATCGGCACATGGATGACGCGCGCGCAATGGATCTTCATCTCCTTACACGGGATGACAAGTGGGGGCCGCGGTTGCTTCGAGTAACAGTCACTTCCGTTCCATCTACCACAGCAATCTACTCCTTCCGTCCCAAATTATAAGACGTTTGATTTTTTTAACTCTAAATTTGACCACTCATTTTATTAAAAAAAAATCGTTCAAATATAGTTAAATTTAAATCATTCTTGAAGAACTTTTATTAATAAAGCAAGCCACGATAAAAAAAACAATATTTTGCATAAATTTTTGAATAAAATGAGTGATTAAATTTAGTATAAAAAAAATCATAATTTAGGATGGACCTAGTAGTATTTCTCTCTCGCTGGCTAGCTAGCTGAGGGCAGGCAAACCATGTTCCATATTTGCGTGGGCTCATGCGATGTGACGTGATGCGTGTCATCCTCGACACGGGACTACGGGAGCAGCACGTCCAAATCCAGCAGGCAGCACTAGTTACAACTACGTACAGAACTACTGTAGGAGTAGAACAGTTGCACGGATGAATAGCATCTTGTTGCCACGTGTCCGCCTTTCCGGTGCACACGCGCATGCCTGTCCTACATGCAACGCACGCGGTGTACATGCTATAGACTGTACGAATAGTAGCAGCCGCAGCCGATGGATGCTGGAACGGGAAGGTGTTGTTTTGTCAACTTGTCCTCGCACAGGCGATCCGGTTGAAGCCAGGGCAGCAAATTATAAAGGTGCATTCTGGCATTGAACTGAACAGACACTAGCTGTATCGGACATATGTATGGATCAATACGACACGCCCATGAATCATGGATGATGGACTCTTCAACTCCTAGCTTAGCTGCCTGCATACGAGACGGACGGGCGTATATCTGCCCACCGCCGAGCTGCCGCCGTATCGAAGGATCCCGGAGGACAGGACAGGACGACGGATCGACCGATGACTGCCCACTTGCCGAGCTGCCGCCGTATCGAAGGAAAAATATTATTTGTTGACGGACAAATACGAAAAATCGAATGGACACGAGTCATGATTGGTGCGCTGAGCCCGACGTACGTACGGGGCCCTGCCGCGCACGCACACGTACCACTCGATGTCGATCTCTCCCACATACTGTACGTGTACTCCTACTACCACTACCTTCTCGGTGGGGCAACGTGACGCACATAAGACCACGTACAGTCCGTAGCGACGAAGGCCTGTGGACAACAGCAGAAGCGCGCTGTGCACCACAAACTAGGAGTAGAAGTCCAGCAGATCATCAGCACCACTCCACAGTACTCTTTTAACACACACGGACACGGTCGTCACATTAGCTAGCTAGCGTGTCCTCCCGGCCGGCCCGGGGTCGATCGTCCGGCCGGGGAGCACGAGCACGGTGCCCAACGGCACGTTGGATCTGCTGCGCATATATATATCCATCAGTGGTTGATTTTGCGTGATAAATTTCAGACGATCTTTGTTTGGGGCGCGCGCGGCGACTGACGATGATGTAGCTGTGCAACTGATGTGTACGAGTACGTGCACTAGACGCGTGGGGCGGGGACTGATGATGTAGCTGTGCTGTGCGCCTGTGCCCTGCGCGGCGCGTAGTAGTAATGTGCCGGGCGATGGGGGAACAGGGGCACGCAGAGCAGGACACAACGGCCTGGGCTGGACGGCTGGGCCTGCAACTGCAAAAGGTCCCCGATCCCAATCGATCCCCCCGTGACTGTTCCGTCCTAGTAGCTCCCTGCGCCCGACTTGACTCCCATCGCTCTCGTCTCCCCTGAGTCCCTGACGCGACTGCCAGCTTAGCGCGCTAGTACGTACAGCTTTTGATGATGAGGCAGGGCCGCGGCAGCGGCACGGCGGAAGCCGTCCGGCCCTCTGGTAGTCTGATGCGAGCGGGGCGCGCGGCTGGAGGACGAACAGCAGCTACCGCCTACCGGTACGTCAGTACGTGTGTGTGACTCATCAGTGTGACCCGCGGCCAGGGGTTGAGCGCAGAGCGGCGGAGGGGCGGTCAGGGGTGAGAGCACAGGCTGCGGGCGTTTAGTAGCCAGCGCGCGCGGTGCGTAGCTTGTGTGGCCACAGGCTCACTCAGCTGAATCGAACGTGCGTGCTGTCGATCCGGTGGCGTGGGCGGGCGGGCGTGTGACACTGACTAACGATCTACCTATACCTCTCGTTCCGCCACATTCATCTTGCATTGTCTGGTTGCTTTGGTTTTGTACTAGCCCTCGACGTATTTGTCGACTTGACGCTACCTATTTCCAATATAAATTTGTTCTGAGTGTGTGTGTGTGTGTGTTGGGATCATGGTTGCTTGGGAACTATGCTGGCTACACAACCTTTCCTAACGCTATCAATTTTACTTTTGCCACACTTACGTGACAAAAGAAAAACTGACTACCCTAGAATCCATTGAATTCTGAGGGCTTGTTTGAATCCTTTGGATTTTCAAGAAAATCCGAGTAAAAATAATCCTAGAATTTTAGTATCTCATCCAAACGGTCTATATTTTAGAGAGATTTCAACACATAGATTTTTAGAATCTCAAAATCAAATAAAACTGTTGTGATTCTTTATTAGGATTCTTAGAATCCGATGGGACTCAAATGACACCTAAGAAGAAAGTTAACCACCTAACCTAGGATAAAAGTATAAAACTAGGCAAACAAAAGAAAATGTGAGCTCAGCGTGTAAGAAGTTAGGCAGACTATGTTGCCGCAACATCTACAAAAACTAGAGAGAACTCCAAATCATTCCTCCAAAATTCATCCTATGTTCGGATAATCCCCTTGACTAATATTTGCTTTGATTTACTTTCTCCAACTGTTTTCGGTTAGTCATGTTTACCGCTTAACAAGTTTCATTTTTCCATGTATAAGTTGAGCTTTAACTTCAAACTGAAGTGACGTGATAGCAGACATCATAAATTATTTGAAAATATAAATTCTAAATTCTCTATCATTATAATTCATACACAGTTTGCTTATAGTGTTAATTTATTATTAGATGCTATTCTACCACAGTACCAAGATAAAGTATCTTTAGTTGTGACAATTTTTGCTGCAGTTTAAACATACCCTTAGTTCAACGTTTAATATTACATGGATGGGTATTATATGTATAGGTTTATTTTATATAAATTGAAAATAAATTCTAACACCTGCATAGCATGATATAAGCCTATAATTAATTTGCAATACTCGTGAGAAAAATGTAGGTTAGCTGCGGCTGGATCGAGCCCAAACGAGAAAGGAAGCATAAATGAGTTGTGAACCGACGCATTTGCAAATGAATGGACGGGCCCAATGGCCCATCTCTCTGGGCCTCCAAGTGGTGCGCAGGCGTCAACTTGATACAGCTCAGCCCACAAATGCACGAACTCAGCACGCACATGTAGAGCGGAGGCCAGAATCTAACGGAAAAATATGGACGCAAACTTTTTTTGTTATAATACAAAAACTATTTACTTACCTCTCATGCAATCCTTGTAGCCCTAGTTTTCTCTATAAACTGCAAAACCTAACATTGGCATGTCAGCAGGAAGCACCGATAAGATGATATATTTTCAGTGTTTATTATGGACCTAAATAACACGTTATGACAAAGTGCATGAATCACTAGTGTATTTACACAAATTTTTCTTACCCATTGACAGCATAGGGGCGGCACATACTTTAATAACCTTTAATTTATATACTTTAATGATATTATTTGCTATATCATATGGCTAATTTGCATATTGTTTGCTCTATAATATTCATGGTGACTTTCATCTATCTCTCACTGTTCGAACTGTTGAAACGAGACTCTATGCTCTCTCTCTTTTATGTGATACTTAAAAATACCTTAGATTACTAGCGATAGATGGATCCATACGTCCTACACAAGATTGTCTCTCTCTTTGATACTTAAAATACCTTAGATTTTGGATAGATGGATCCATTTTATAGCTTGTACAAATTTTGCTGTTTTAGAGGTGGAGGAGAGGAACAAAACCCACTAAGCCCCGTTCGGTTCTAATCATGGCGCGGAACCGTTCTTGTCTATTACAAATTTGGGAATAAATTGTACGACCGGGAATCATTCTCGTATAACCGAACGAGGCTTAAATTAGTATAATTTCCACTGAGATTTTTTAATTTTGACTATCTTTTATTAAAATTTGTACTATTAGCCCATTCTAACAAACGAAAATTCATATTTTGTCCTGGAAACCTTGGTCCTTCCTCCCGAACAAGACGAAAAAATTCGACGTTTCCAACGCCACGGCCTCGCGATTTCTCTTCCCCGACGCGGCGATGGCGCCTCCGCCTCCCCCACACCACTCCAACCAGCCAGCGAATCGCGCCGCCCCGCCCGCATCGAACTCCCCGTCGAGCCCCGGACGGAGACTCCAATGGCGTGTTCGGCCGCGGCGGCCGCCGCGGGGTGGCTGGTGTCGCCGTTCCTCGACAACCTGAGCAGCCGGCTCCGCTCCTACGTTGACGACCTCCTTCGCTACCTCCCCCTCTCGGAGTCCGCCTCCGCCGACCTCGAGCGCCTCAAGGACTACCTCCTCCGCCTGCACGCGTACGCCTCCACCGTGGAGCGCGCCCAGCGCCGCCCGCCCCACCCCACGCTCCTCGCCTGGTTCAACCGCCTCCAGGACGCCGCGCACGACGCCGACGACATCCTCGACGAGATCAGCTACAGGCGCCTTGCGGATGCCCTCATCGGACCCCGCCCCGACCTCTGCAGCATCCTCGACACCCCCGGCCAGCTTTGCAGCCGCCTGGTGTCAGTATGCTCCGACCACCCCTTCAAACGGTTGCCCTCCGTCCTCGACAAGCTCGCCAACGCGTGTGCGGACTACGCCGGGATCGCCTCCCTCGTGGGGATCGATGCCCCCAAGTCGCCGCAGCGTGGGAACCGGCTCTCCAGGAACTCTAGCTCCATCATCCCGGCCGACGACGCCTTCTTCGACCGCCAACGCGAGCTCCACGTTCTGGTCGAAATGTTAGTTGGTGGCAACGGCTCTGCTCAACTACAGAGCCAGAGTGTCCCGGTTGTCGCCATTGTTGGGGATGGTGGGATCGGCAAGACGAAGCTGGCTCAGACGGCATTTAATCATGCCAACATTCAGGAGCACTTTGATCCCCTCATGTGGGTGTGCGTCTCCAGCCATCTGGATGATATGAGGATTACTAGGGAGATACTGCAGGCTGCTACGGATTGGAAGGTGGATTATGATGGGATAGTGAATTTTGATAGGCTGCAAAAATTGCTTGTCTCTGCTGTTGCAGGGAGGAGGTTCTTGCTTGTCCTAGATGATGTTTGGGATGACAACGAGATGAGCATGTGGGATAACGGGGAGAGGTGGAGGAAGCTACTAGCTCCTCTGCAGAATGGGAATCAAGAAAGCAGGATCATTGTCACGACACGCATGAAGATGGTTGCTGACATGCTAGGCGTGAGGATGCCAGTGATGTTAGGTGGGTTGGAAACTAAAGAGAATTGGTTGCTTCTTAAGAAGTGTGCACTAGGTAGCGAGAATAGTCGCGAACACCCACGTTTGTAGGATATTGGGAGGAAAATTGCTTCGAATCTTAATGGATCCCCTCTTGCAGCCAGAGTTATTGGTGGGAGGCTCAGTAATACTCGAATTGCGAGGGAGTGGAACAATATCTCGGAGCAATGTTTTTGAGGCGCCGCGGCGAGGCGCGGCGCCCGACCCCCTTCACAACGCCTAGGCGTTTGTGGCGGACGCCTAGACGACGCCATACACATATTGTATACCTTGTTTGTTGCCAATTCTTGAGCCCAAGTTCCTTAGGAAAAGAGCAAATTTGCACAGCTAAGGGAGCACTACTAATCAGTAACATACTAATCAAAGCAAGTGTATACTAATCAAAGAAAGACCTGTTGCTATAGCAACTGTAAACTAATCAAAGCAAGTGTATACTAATCAAATCCATGTTGCTGTAGCAGTGTATGTAGCAGTCCAAGCACAAGCAGACGTTAGTATATGTGAGTAACACTAAAGAAAGACGACTCAGTAATATAAAAGCAGAGCACGAGCAAGGCGCACACAGCATGAGCAAAAGCAGAGCACGAGGCATTAAATACTACGATACTCAGAGCAGAGATGGGATACCAGGCGGAGGGAACAGAGAGGAGGCAGGGGCATACCAGGCGGAACAGAGAGGAACAGAGAGAAGGCAGAGGCATACTAGGCGGACGACGGACGGCCGGCGGAGGTGGAGACACAAGATGAACGGGCAGCTGTGGACAGGCGGACGGCCAACGGAGGCGAGACAAATCCTGGCGGGCCGCGCGAGCAGATGGATGGCCGATGCTCGCAGCGCGAGAGATGCTGGAGCGGCTCCACGGCAAAAAGCGGACGACCAAGCAGAGATGCAGGGGTGGCTCCTCGGAAGGGGCGGCTGGCCGGTGGACTCGAGTTGTCGAGCAGAGGAGCAGCAAAGCGGAGCTCAAGGTCCGTCCGCCGCCTTCTCTCTCCCTCTCCCCTCGCCCACGGACGGCCAAGCGGAGATGCAGGGCCGGCTCCACAGCAGGGGCGGCCGGCCGGTGGACACGAGCAGAGTAGCAGCCCAGCGGAGGTCGAGGTCCGTCCGCCGCCTTCTCTCTTCCTCTCCCCTCGCCCGCGGACGGCCAAGCGGAGATGCAGAGCCGGCTCCATGGCGGGCGCGGCGGCCGGTGACACGAAAGGTAGTGGCGCAGCCAAATGGAGGTCGAGGTCTGTCCGCTGCCTTCTCTCTTCCTTTCCCTCTCTCCCTTTCTCATGCACTTTCATGATAAATGACTCATGCGCGCCGCGCGCGATCGATTTCCCGCGCCTCTTACTTATCCCGCGGGCAGCGCGGTCGATTTCCCGCGGGGCCGCGCTCCTTTTGGCGCCCTTCCCCTACGACCGGCATCCAACGTCCGCGGCGTGGTTGTAGGCGTCCGCCCGACACCATTCGCGCCTAGGCGACGCCTAATCCTATGAGGCGGACGCCATACACGCTGAAGTCGTGGCGACCCCGACGCCCAGGCCCTCGACCACGCCTTGTCGCCTAGGCGACGACTAGGCGACGCCTCAGAAACATTGTCTTGGAGACAGATATTCATGGTGACATTGTCTCGACACTTCTGTCGAGCTATTATCATCTCCCGCAACACTTGCAACATTGCTTTGCATATTGCAGCATATTTCCAAAGAACTGGAAGTTTGAGCGTAAGAAATTGATCAAAATGTGGATAGCACAAGGTTTTGTTCATATGGAAAATGGAAGCATGGAGGATGCAGGTATAGAATATTTCAAACAACTGTTGGCAAGATCATTCTTTCATACTCTTACGCAGGGAAACAGAACGCACTATGTCATGCATGACCTGATTCACGATTTGGCACAAATCGTTTCCCGCTGTGATTGTGCAAGGATGGAAGGCAACAAGTCTAAAACCATACCGTCGACTGTTAGACATGTATCTGTTTCAAGCAGCTCTCTACCACGGCTGAAGGAGCAATTTGACTTGAGAAGATTACGGACATTAGTTGTATTTAAAGATTCATCGATGACCTCAAGTACTATTCCACATGATTTTCTTGCTGAGGTAAAGAATGTACGCACGTTAGATCTCACAGGATGTCTTATATCAGAGGTACCTGAAGCAATTGGTTATCTAATTCATCTGTGTTACATAGCACTTCCTGGTACTATCAAGAAGCTACCTGAATCTGTGAGCATGTTACTGCATCTTCAGACTCTTGATATTCCAAAGAAGTGTCAGCTCGATGGTTTTCCTAAGGGCATGCACCTGTTGGTCAACTTGCGACATCTTGGTGTAAATTTAACATACATTTCAATGATAAGGGGTATTGGTACTCTAGTTAATCTTCAAGGGTCTATTGAATTTCATGTTAAAAAAGAACAAGGGCAGAGCTTAGTGGAGTTGAAGGATATGAACGACCTTCATGGTCTACTTCACATCAAGTACCTGGAAAACGTTCAATGCAAGGAGGAAGCTTGCAATGCTGAATTATCCAATAAGCGATATCTTAAAATTCTGAAACTTGAATGGAACTCTGCGAGTTCAGCTTTTGGTCCCACCAGGGATGCTGAAGTATTAGAAGGCTTAGAACCTAATCCAAACTTGGAAGAGCTTCATATTAAAAGGTACAAGGGGGAATCATCACCAAGCTGGTGGGAGGTGAAAATTCTGTCCCAGCTTAAGTCCTTGTATCTGACAAACTGCAGGAGGTGGAAGCTACTTCCTTCACTTGGACAGCTTCCACTTCTGAAGGTGTTGCACCTTAAGGAGATGTGCTCAGTTACTGAAATCAGCCCTAAATTCTATGGTGGTGGCCCTGAGTCATTTCCATCACTGAAGTATCTTGAGTTTGATGATATGCCAAACTTAGTTAGTTGGGTTGGAGAAAATGGTGTCTCATTTTTTCCTTGCCTGCAGAAACTGAAGATTTTAAACTGTCCGAAATTGATTGAAGTGCCCTTGCTTCCTCCTACAACAAAAAGTGTGACAGTAGAAAGAACTCAAAAGATTTATGATCTCAAATTGACCCCATACTGTTCATCAAAATCACGCAAATTCATTTTGGAAATTTCTTCTGGACGCATATTGAACGAAGGGTTCTTACACCAGAAACACCTTGAAGCTACTGAGGTTCTAAACATTAGAGGTTGTTGGGGTTTGGAGCATGCTGGAGGATTCCGGTTATTATCATCATTAAGAAAATTGCGATTATCTCAGTGCAACATGGATGGTGAACAGCTGAGTTTGTGTTTGCAGCACTTAACTTGTCTTGCCTCATTAGACATAGTTTACTGCCAGAATATCACATCTTTTCTCTTGCCAGCAGGTTCAAGGCATTTTGAAACACTCCAGCATTTGTGCTTTCAGGATTGCCAGATGCTTTGTTCCTTGGCTAACCTGGATAGCTTTGTTTTCCTAAAAAGTTTGATCATTGAGAGGCGCATAAGAGTAAAGACAGAGTCTTTACCAGCTAAGCTGGAGGGAATGAGATCTCTTAACAAACTTAGCATCTTGCACTGCCTAGGGTTTCAAACACTACCGAGCAACATTCCATTGTCCCTGGAATTTCTTCATTTGACTGGGTGCCATCCAGTGTTGATTCAAGGGCTCCTTGAGAAGCAAGGTCCAGAGTGGGAGAAGATTGCCCCTTTCTCTCAAATCAAAGTAATACTAAAGTGACGCCTTCTGTTGTTGCATGGTATGTTCTTACCCTATAATATTGGATCGCCTTTTACTCTTATTGCGCGTGATGGTTTCAGTATGTTAGTTCAACTGTGCACATGAGTTCAATTTATTTTAACTCTAGGGCAATGGTGTGACAACTGTAGAATAGTTCTGGTCTTGTTGGCTGCATTAAATGATTATTATAACTAGGTCAATTGGCTTATACAATCACATGGCATGGTCTAGTATACAATAAAGGGTCCTAATCTTTCTCGACTAAAACCTAGTATTTGTTATACTTGTGTTAGGTTTTTAATATATCTAACTTGATTTTGTTGTTTAATTGCGATTAGAGTCCACTGGTTTAAGGGATAGGATGTTTCTCTTTCTTTGAGTATTTCCAGCGATTGTTTTCTTTTCCTAAAAATGGCTATACCATCTGTCATCACTTACTAGTATATACCACTATATCAGCTTCATACTCGACTAATTTTAGAAAACCCCATAGAGTATAAAGATCTAAGAATATTGTCTCATGAAATGACTTCAACTGACGAACTCGGCGAACTACACTTTCCCCTTTTCTTGTGGGCATCCCACCTGGGCACTGAATAATGTTCCATAATGCATTGGTGCCCACTAGTTTTTTTTCTCGAACACCCCACTAGTATCCTTTTGACATTGCCATCTCGAATACTGGTTAGCTAAAATCTAGGTAGCGCCGTGACCATGAAGAGTGCAGCCCCAGCTTACCAGTTCCTTGTCCTTGGTATCAGGGTCGGAAGAAGGGCCGGTGATGCCGGGGCTGCAGCACTGGCCATGCCAGTAGAATCTCTAAGTGAAATATAAGTCTAAAAATTAATCCTAAGAGAAAAATGAGCCTAAAACTTGCAATTCAATCCATTTTTCACTTAATCCATCACCCCTTGTCTAGCTTGTTTGTCTCCACCACTGCTTGATATCTGATATCTCCATTATTGACTTGGAGATCATGGCTCATTGGTAAATAAAACAGTTGCTTATGTAGAAGGCACTCTTGGTTTCATCTTTTTATATTTCAAAAAATTAGTTCCCTGTAGTTCCATTAGAAAATTCCATTAGAAAATGGTAGCAGTCTAGCAGAAATGTTCATTTAGCCACAGTTCTTCTCTCCCTTCTGGTAATGATCTTGCAATGTTACCACAGAGCCTCAAACCTCAAGTCATGGTTTTATGTCACATCATTAACTAGTATTGTTAAGATTTAGGGCCTGTTTGGTTGGAGACCTGTGCCTGAGAATGCTAATAGAGATGTGCATAAAATTCAAATGTTTTTAATATCTATTATGTAAGATTACATATATCTTTATAGTTTGATTATGATCGTTACATTTTGTCCCACATGTTACAATAAAGTATTTGCAAGAAAATAATTAAGTTCTGCCCGTGATTAATAGATTCTTTTATAGCCATCAAGCAGTAATCACCAAGATATTTTGCAGCAAGTGAAAATGAGAACTAGACAAAAGATAACAAGAGAAAAAGGCGTACACCTACACTAAAAAAAATGGCAGACACAAAAGCTAACGAGTTTTGCATGGCTCTTTCCGGCGGTGAATAAATAAACTAATCAAAAGTATACGCCAGGCAACACAGGCGGCCGGGCGCTTAAGCCAGGCGCTCAATTTTCCTTGCCTGGGGCGATGCGCACTTGCCTGGTACAGGCAACATCCCAGGACATCAACCAAACGCATCACAGGCAAGGTACAGGCAAGGTTGGGACCAGGCAAATTTACTCCAGGGCTTGAACCAAACAAGCCCAGTTTTTGAACCTTGACATTTCTCATAATTGGGCTTCAGTGTGCCTCTTTTAGGTGCTTGTCTTGCTGAATGGAAGTGAGTTAGCAGAACAGAGATTTGGATTTTGGACATGAAATTGGTGATTAGGATCCTCTATACATTTGCAATAGGATGTCAATAAACAAGGTCTGAGACTTCTCTTCAGAGCTTCTCGAGGAAACAAATAAGAGAGGCAAACCTCTTTAGTGTCAGTATAGGGAAGTAACATTTTTCCTAGTGTCAAATAGGGAGTTCGTTCACCCCACCTCGCGTCAATGCATCGTCTGCCCGCTCAAGCAGAATGTAATATCCACTGATAAGGGAAACCGAAACGTCTATGCCTTAATCATCAATTTCACTTCTCTTAAGGTTTTTCTTTGGTTTTGGTGCCTTTTTCTTTGCTGACTCCTGTACATTTTGTATTTTCTCTCTCCTTTTTTCGTACTGTTTTTCTCTATACGTTTTTCTAAGTCCTTGTACGGTTGTACCTAGCCCTCTTCCTTTATTAATAGGATTTGGCACACTCTTCCTTCTTTAATAGGATTTGGTACACTGGTGCCAGTTTGTTGAAAAAAACCTCTCTCTTAAGGTTGCTTTGCTTCAGTGTTTTAGTTAGTCCAGAACATGCAGGAGTTTTGGAATGTATACTCTAGGATCAGGAAGTGTTTGAACAGTGAGCAGATCAGAGTCCTTGTGTGAGATGAGGACTGTTTATACTCATTACTTTGTATCTTGCCAAATTAACTATGGATTTCACAGGGCATGATTTGTCCTCCCTGTATGTTGTATTTTCTCCCAGAATAAATCTGAATCCTATATATATGTATAAATGTTTAAAATTAGTTGTTGTTGTTGTTGTTAGTAGAAGGGTGGGCCTGGTGCAAGCGGTAGAGTCTTACCGCCTGTGACCGGAAGGTCTCGGATTCGACTCGCGGTCTTCTCGCATTGCACAGGCGAGGGTAAGGCTTGTCACTGACACCTTTCCCCAGACCCCGCCCAGAGTGGGAGCTCTCTGCACTGGGTACGCCCTTTTTGTTGTTGTTAGTACTGAAAGGTATTATTTATTACTTTGGTCACTGTGTATTGATCCAACACTTGCACCACGGGGAACAGGGTGCAAGACAACCTTAGTTAGATGGGAACCGAACACAATCGCCAAATCATACTGTATGTATATACTACATGTAAATTCCCCTCAGGCAGCTAAACTCAATGTGGATCCAGAGAATCTTAAATACGGGGGTGAGAAGAGAAATCGGTGTTAACCGGACTAAGGCTTGATTAAGAACCTGGAACCTGATTACCTGAAGCTGATGACACAAACTGAAGAGCAGTACAAGACACCTGGCTAAGAGAGCATGTGTGAGCTCATGCTTTATCGGATTGTTGGCACTCTGGATAGAAGGTATTGGCACTTGTCAGTTGTCACACATATAACTGACATAAGTGGTTATGTGCATGGCGTGAGACGCCAAGGTTGGCTTTTGTTAGGTAGTGGTAGCAAGAGTTTGTCCCCAACCCTACTGCAGTTTGTTTATTCTTTTGGCTATCATTGTGCATTTATATTATTACTCCTAGTGCATTTATAGTCCAAGCTGACTAGGATGCATGGAATATACCAAAAACATATAGTGATATGATACTGAGTGACAAAACTTTGTTATCCTTCGTTTCTCAGTGACCTGGCAGAAACTTCGTCTGCACTCCATTCTTACAGAATCATTCCTTTGCTACAAGAATCTGGCATCGAGAAAGGCATTGGGGAACACGAACAAGAGAATGCAGGTTATTTATGGGGCGGGATTGCGGGAACACAGGTCAAGCTAGTTACTTCAAGAATGTGATCTAATGAAATAGGGATAGAGGAGACAAAGGACATCTGATCTGATGCATGAGGCAACTGTATCACGACCTGCATGGAAGAAGGTGTACCTGGCCGTGGGGGATGATGCTAAGCAGTGTGAGCTTTCTCTGCAATGGGCTCTGAGCTTCATCCCACCACAGATGTCATTGGTTCTTCTCCACGTCAACAGGCCAGTTACAGTGATTCCCTATGGTAAGAAACTCACTGTTTATTCAAATCTAGTTTCAGATGGCATATGTGTATGTCCTTGATTCTTTGAGGTCGCACAAAATAGCCATGCTACTTGTGGGTGGGACTGTCACTTGGCTGGAATCTAACATAAATTTTACTGACCATTCTTTCCCTCTTACATTCTATAGCCACTTAATTTATTTTCAGAGGTATTGGGAGCTCCAGTGAAAGCAAGTATGTTAAGAGAAGAATTTGTTAGCAATTACAGCAAAAACGCGAGGAACAAGATTGAGAGCTCCTTAAGAGAGCGCTTGCAAAATTTTAAGGTGATTGTGAATCTGGATGTCGTTGATAATCTTTGTTTTCAGTATGTGCAAAAAATATTCTCATATCAAGTATGTCATTTAGGTCCAAGCAAAGATCTTGATAATTGACAATAATGATGTTGCTCCTGCACTTTTGGAGCTTGTAAAAAGGCGAAAGATTACCACACTCGTCATGGGAGCTAAAAGCAGGTATGTTACTTTTTAGTGCTATATGAGAAATATCTGCAACTTACTAGTAGGTACTATAGAGCTTCACCCCCTTTGTTTGATGCTTTGACTTATTTTATGTGACCTTTGGACCTTGATACAAAAGACATGACTGGAGGAGCAAGACAGCAGTCACTTTGGAGAAGCAAGCTGACCCTTCATGCAACATTTTGTATCTCCATGATGGTATTCTTATCTCAAGCAGGTATGCGCTACAATTGTCTAATCAAGGGTGTCTTTTGTGAGGTTAGAGCACTTTTGTGAGGTTAGAGCACTATCAAAGGATTTCTGCACTATCAAGATACACTTAATTCTGACGCATGATCAGGGATCCATATTGATATTTAGGACCTGAAAGCATGATGTGCAGAAATCTCATAAATGAAGTTACATATAACCCACTTTCCTTGATGCGCAGAGAAACACGATCAATGGTTAATTTCTTGTTTTAAGATCTAAAACTGAAGGAAAAAATTGTTGTGCTTTGCTGTAAAGAACTGTTACTACTTCTCTTACACAGCTGTTATTAGCAGGCATCAGTGTGCTAATGTCTTCACAGAGAGGAAAAATCGAATCATATCTTTGGGTGGTTGCCACTTTTCACGCAGCAGCAACACCACCACCAGTAAATCCTCTTCGTTCTTCAACTCCCTTAGCACAGACAACACCTTCGATGCAGAAAAGCTACATGATCTATCTTTGGATACCAATCCTATGTACATATTTAACGACCACAGGTTCAATGCTACAGTTGGCCTTGAGGGGCTTGACACTTTCAGGGAACTGGTTAGCCAGCAGATTCCTGCTGAGCACTCGAGGCACTTGTACCAAGCATTTCATTTGCAATACTGTGATATCTTCACAAGGTGTGAGTTCATTGGTGGCTTCGACTCAGTTCTCGGTGTAGATCACCAGCATTTGGGGAAAACACACTGGAAACGCATGAGCAGCTGGCCTGCAGTGCTGGAGTATATTGTCAGTATTCTCAACACATTGCACACGCGACTCAAGCAGAGTCAAGCATGTGATGGATTTACACATGACGACCTTTTAGAAGCAGCGAAGAAACCTTTGCGTCGTCTGTTCACTGTTGCTTCTGTTGTCTGCACTCATGAGGTCAGGAAGTCACCAGAAAAGCTCTTCTTTGTGTTGAACATGTACACATCACTCACGGATGCCATCCCTGCTCTCTGGAATGTATTCCACACTGATTCTATCAGCAGAGATGCAGAGGGTCTTCTTGCAAAACTGAAGGACTCTGCAACTGAAATAGTTAAAGAGCTCAGAAGCTTGGTTCAAAATTACAGCTCACAGAGAGCGGTGCAGGAGCAGGATGGAGGTATCACGTCACTCGCTGCGTACCTCATGAGGTACATCAGGTTACTAATGAATCACAAGAGTTCACTTGATACCATGCTAGGACATGGTCACACTGATGGTCTATTGACAGTTGAGGTAATAAACCCAACAGGTCATCTAGTGTTTGAGTTCATTGCCGACCTGGATTCAGTGCTTGAGAAACAGTCCGAATCATTTTCTTCTAAAGAACTGCAGTGCTTGTTCTTGATGAACAACACACATTTCATACTCCAAGAAGTCAAGCAGTCAGATGTAAGGTTGATCGTAGGATCCAGGTGGATTGGAAAACGCCAGGACCGTTTCAAGAAACACATGAAGGGTTACCTGTCTGCATCATGGGGACCAGTTATATCCAATTTGGAGACTGCAAAAAGCACGTCACCCAGTAAAAGTCTTAGGACAAATGTCTTCAGTTTCCTGCATAGCAGTCCGACTCCTGTGCAGAATTTTTCTTGGTCATTCGATGAAACTTGTCAGACTCAGATGTCCTGGAAAGTACCCAGTCCAGTTCTTCGCGAAGAGCTTCGTGGAGAGATACTAGCGTTTCTTACTGGAGCATACCATGCACACTTGGAGAGGGTGAAGAAGTCTGTAAAAGGACATGCTGCAGATTTTAAGCGGGAATGGAAGAGCAAAATCAATGAGTTGTTTGAAGGGTGAAATGACACATTCATTTCTGCAAAAAATCAGAGAAGAAATGAGAATGCAGTACTAGTAGAGCCTTTATAGGGTGTGCCTTTGTTTTTGTCCTTGCATCTGTTCCTGTAAATGATCAACTGTTGTAGCTTCAGTTTAACCAGAGAAATTTGCTAAAGGAGTTACTTTTATATGCAAATAGATACCCCTTCCCTTCGTATGGCATTCTAGAATTTAGGTAGGCAAACTTCCTTACTCTCAAGTCTCAACAACTAGCATGGAAAAACTAATTTAGATTTGAAAAATCAGTACCAATTTACAGCATTTATGCTTTTCACTGCTAATATGCTATACAAACTACTAGCCAAAGTTAAGCATCATAGGACTTATATACACGTATGAGAACCATTTCTACTCCTGTTATTATTACTACCCCTTTGTTCTTGGATGTTGGAGCTGTTTGGTCATTTTTGTGATGATGGTGATGGTATCTTTTGTGCTGAAAAAGAATCAATAACACACTTATTCTTTGATTGTTGTGTGGCCAGAAATATCTGGAACACAGTTGCAGAGTTACTTTGCCAGGAGATGGGCTGGGATTTTGAATCAGTGGCTCGACTCTGGGTTGCCAGTAAAAGGATAAGCTGTTCTCAGGGTGCTATATGGATGGGGATGAAGAGAGTGATGCTACGGATTGTCAGGATGTTAAGGAGCTGGGTGCCTATGTTCCAGCAGGACGTTTTGCTGCAAGTGGAGGATTTCGCAATTCAGCTGGAAGCCAGAGCAAACTTGCCGCCTCAGATCAAGTGGTTTGTGGCCGCCACAATGGACAGATGGGTCAGATTGCGAAGGTTGGTTCATGGCTGTGACCAGAGAAGGCACCAAGGCTGCGCACACCCCGGTTCTTTATCGAGGCGCGCTCGGATCTACATCGGCGAGATGGGCTGCACGAGCGCGATGGTGTGCGGCGGCCAGTGTGGCATCCGGGCGAGGCGAGGCTGAGCTTATCCTTGTTATTATTTTTAATAAAAAACAGGTTCTTTTTTTTTGAAAGGAAAACAAGTTCTTTTTAAATCATATACAATGATGACGTCTTTGCTGCCTTGTTTGTTTTTGTTGTGTTTCCTACCTTACATTGGAGTTACCTTCCCCTTCTATTTCTTATATACTACCCTGAAAGAGACTTCATCCCTATCATTCTTCTGTGGAATCGTTCGAATATAATATCGGGAATAGTGAAGTTGAACAAGGAGAAAATGACAGCTTCTCTAATATATACATACCATCAGCGTTCATTTAGATGCTGAAAGCACAAACTGGTCTGCAGATATGGTTGCGGTTATGGAGCGCAAGATGATGCAGCTGCTGCAGGCAGTTTTAGCAGCAGAAGCAAGTGGGGAAGAAGAGAAGGTGCACCTGGTGGTGTCGATGGATGATGGTCACAGACTTCAACAGGCTCTGCAATTCGTTCCGCCGCAGAAGAAAGTAGTCCTTGTCCATATCCACCGGCCAGCAATGATGATACCAATCCCAACCAGTAAGAAATGAATATGCTGGTTTTGTGCCTCTTTCATTCCATATGCATTAGCAGAGAAGTTACATGCTATATATTTCCTGTTATGATATCATTTTATCGTAATTCCTTTCAGTGGGTGGCGCAGTACATGCAAGCATACTTAAAGATGACATTGTGAGAGCCTTTAGGGAAGAGCAGAGGGGTCAGGCTCTTCAAGCCTTAAAGGGCTACGAGGAAATCTGTACTCGAGCAGAGGTGAGTGGTGAATCAAGAATCGTTGCTTTTGGATTGCATGCTCTGGTCTCTGGTGGATGATAGAATAGTAACAGCTTATAGTTCTTGTAGGTTCCAGCAGAGATACTGATGATTGAGAACGACAATGTGGCAGGGGGGCTTTTGGAACTCATTGCAAACCACAAGATCAAGACTCTGATCATCATTGGTATCAGCAAAAGTTGGTATGTGTTTTTACTAGCTGCGGAGGCATTTTCTATTTGCTGTGGTTATTTAGTGAGACATCTGCATGTCCACCACAGGGTAAACAGATCGAAGAGAAACCTAGCAGCAGCTTTGCAGAAAGGCACTGACCCGACTTGCAACATCTTGTTTATGCATAAAGGCAGACTCATTTCTATTAGGTATCAATGGGTGGATTTCAAGTATATCATTTCTATAAGGCCTTGTAATAGCTACCTGTTAGTGTGATGACTTAATAGTGTAATATTTCTCACACGGTGCCTTCTATTGTGCAGTCAGCAGGATGGAAGTGTCTTTGCTTTTGAAACAAAAGGGACACCTTCTTCCATAAGCAGTCGCCGCTTCTCCCTCTCATGCAGCAGTGGCAGCAGCCCGTCTCCTTTGTTGTGGGATTCATGTAGCACACCATCTTCTGTCTTCTGGCATTCAAGGAGCACACTTGATAGTTTGGACCCTTCACAACTGGATGACCCTTCTCTGGAGAATGCTGGTTCCATATTTGATGATAGCAGGCTCATTGCTATCCTTGGTCATGAGTCAATTGATGCTTTGAGGGAGCTAGCCCACCGCCCGAATTTGACTGAATGTTCACAAGGATGGCACCAGGCATTTCAATCAAAGAACTCTGAGATATCTAGTGGATGTCAATTGATTGGCGGCATCGATTTGGTCCTTGGAGCAAACTCTGAGAATTTTGGGGAGGAATACTGGAAGACCATCAATGGCTGGCCTGCAGCATTTGAGCTTATTGTTAGGGTTCTCAACACCACGCAGCAACAACATAGCCACAACAGCAGTGAATGCAATTGACTCACACCTGGCAGGCTCTCAATAGTGGCAAAAAAACTTATAAACCGATTGCTTGATGTTGCATTAGATGTTCCTGGGGAGAGGAAGACACCAGAGAAGCTATTTTGTATACTATACATGCGCAAAGCAATTGTTGATTCAGATTCCTCTCTCAGGAGAGTGCTTCCTGCAGATTTTGTGAGTAAGGTAGACAGAGTCATCACAGTACTGAATGATTCAGCAAGGGGAATACTTCGAGATTTTAAAGTGTTGATCCAGAACTATAGCTCGCAGAAAGTAGAGCAGGACGGAAGCATCTTACTGATAACCAGGTATGTCATGAAATACATCAGATTGCTGGTAAAGCATGCTGGCTCGCTTGATCCCATTTTGGGCTGTGGTCAAAACAGCGACTTGTTTGAGGGAGTAAGCTTGACAGGTCATCTAGTACGTGGGCTTATTAGTGACCTGAACAATGTTGTTGAAGAAAAATCTAGGTTATATGCTTCTCAACAAGGACTCCGGTGTACATTCTTGATGAACAATGCTCATTTTGTAATCCAGGAGGTCGAGCATTCGGATATACAGCTGATACTCGGAGCTGAGTGGCTTAAGCAGCGCAGGGATGAATTTGATACGTACATGAGGGATTACATGTCCTCGACATGGGAAAAAGCCACATATCATTTGACAGTTGCAGCAAGTCCCCCTCATAAAAGACTTAGACCTGGCCTCCTTGGTATCTTCCACACAAACGCAAAACCACGTTTTGATTCTTGTTTCAAGGAAACCTGCGACTCTCAAATGCACTGGAAGGTGCCGTGTCCAGTTCTCCGGTCCAGGATTCGTGAAAGCATCTTGGAGCATGTTGTTGAAGCCTACCAGGTGTATTTGGAAACTCTGAACCAGCCTTCGATAGGAAGTGCTGGGGATTTGAAGAGCAGAGTCAGTGAATTGTTTGAAGGGTGAACATGAATCATATTCTGCTGATGATTCCAACACTGTTGATTCGATACATTATTTGCAGAAGTACTTTGGCGTCCTGCATCCAACGCTGATGATTCCCAAGCGGTTGCATGCCAAGAGCAGCAGGCATGGCATCCTGTTTTCCTGGATTCCTGACGCTGCAAGAAACAAAATACCAAGGATATCTGCTCGATGATTCCCAAGCGGTTGCATGCCACGGTGCCAGAATCCAGACCAAGGACGTCGCATAGTTTTTGCAGGTAGCTAACTGTTTTGTTGGCACGTTTTGGACTGCCATTTGGCATCATCACATGGCCTTTCCTGTTAGGCATCTTGAAGGACGGAAATGTTAAACTCCAGTGTGCCACCTAGAGAACTCGGTTAGGCAATAAATTAGAAATCGCGGCGTGTATAGCAATGTTCTTACACACTTTTTTTTTTTTTAAAAAGGATGTTCTTACACACCTTTGTCCAATCAAGTTGTAGCATCGCATAATTGTTAGAGAGACATGGCCCAGAGTAAGCCTGAGACTGTTACGGCCCAACAAAGTTTGTCGCAATGAGCTTGTCAACGCGCGGCCCACCAAGAATTCCCAGACCAGCAGTAGCACAGCTGCAACCACTAGTAGCCCAGCCCATGCAGGAGAATCCCAGGACATCACAGGCTCAAAGCATGTTTTCCCTCCCTTCGCAAAAAAGAAAAAAAAAGAAAAAAAGAAAAGAAAAGAAAAAAGAAAAAAGAAAAAAGAAGAAAGAAGAAAGAAAAAGAAAAAAAATAAGCTTTTCCTCCCTGGAACAGAATCTAGGGTAACTTCCATTCAATTTCTGCGGAGTACTTCACATTGAAGTTACTTACAATGTTCTTCTTTCTGATTAGTGATTACTTTTACCAGAGCAGTTAATCTGCTTCCTCGGTATCCACAGCCAAGAAACCCTGCTGCACTGCACGGAGCTTGGATTATCCTCTGCATCATACTGCCGTTGCATTATCCTAGCATTTGGAACTGCCGCTAGTCTCTTTCGGTACGGAATCATTCCCTTCTTACATGGAATCTGCCATCGAGATCAGCGCCAAGAGGCAGTTAGGCTCCGTTCGGCTCAGTTGTTGGCTGATTCGGCTACAGTTTCTAGAATCAGCCAGACCAGCAGGATCAGCCAAGCAGCAACTGAACAATTCGAATCAAACAAGTGGGGCCACATACACGTACCAGGATGCAATTCAAATAAAAAAATGGCGCCAACTGAAGCACCAGCCATCAGGCATGGGAACCCCTTACATCATTCAAATCAATTCAAATACCAGGCAACAAACAACAGGCATGGACAGCTCTTACATCAATCACATGTTCATATCAAATGGCCCAGTTCAATGAAACATTTCAATACAACACCAACATTATAGCAGTTCTCAAGTCCCTACTTAAATATGCACTCCTTACAATTGAAATTGAATCAATGGGCAATTTAAAAAACTAGTAGCCCCTTGGAGCTACAAACTGCTAGAAGAAGTTTCCCATGGTCTCTCTTCTTCTACATAGTTACACCCATGTCACTACAACAGCAGGATGAGGCATCCAAAACAAGCAGCTCTTACCTCCTTGACAGAGAATTAGTGGTGGGCACATTTACAAAACTTGCAGCCCCTAGAAGCCACTTAATTAACTAGTAGAAGAAGTGTCACAACATCAGGCTTCTCCTACGCATTTGTCCATTACAGCAGGTCATAAACAATTATTTGCAAATCACAACAGTCATCTACATCTAATTGGGTGCTTACGTGGAACAACAATACACAAGTTGTACCCCCTTTAAGGTACTTCACACAGTGAGAAGATGAAGCCCAAATGGTGAAAATGCACATACCAACTTGAACCCTCTCCTTCATGCTATCGGCTGCTCCCCTTAGACCCAATCTCCTCCGGTACCAAATGACCTAAGTGGCATATGTACAAAATTTGTATCCTTTTCTAGGCACATAAGAATGAGCATGAAGGCAGTTCCCATGCAAAAGCCACTTACCCAACCATCAATGGGTACATCACCTCTCCACAATCATTGTCCCCACAGTCCCAAAGATATAAACTCTCTAACCGCAGACATACTGTTACTAGCATTAAGCTGAACCCAGGGAGACGGTGGGTAGGTTGCGGATCCTAATCCATGCTCCCTAATGAACAAGTAATTGTGGAGTGCAAAGCAAGAAATTATAATCATCTTTTGCTTGGTCCTATGGCAGTACGGTACCCCATCAAGAATCTGCCACCAGTTTTTTAGAACCCCAAATGTTCGTTCGATAATATTGCGTAGCCTAGAATGAGTCAAGTTAAATTTCTCCTGTCGAGACATAGTCTCTACAAGTACACCCCTAAAATCATCCAGATGGTACCTTGTATTTTTGAAAGGACCCATGTATCCAGACTCCAGTGCGTAACCAGCATCCACCAGATAGTAGCGGCCTGCAACAAATGATCCAATTGCACAATTAGGTTTTATGTTCTGCACAAGCAACTGAAACAATGTAGGTCACATGATTGATTGGCAGTCGTCACTCACCGATTGGTGGATGCGGGAAGTTTGGTTCCTCCCAACATTCTTTGAGAACCGACATGTTATGCACCGAACCCGCCATCCCCATACCGACATATGTGAAGCGCCCATCCATGTCGACAATGGCACAAACATTCATAGACACATCTCCTTTCTTATTTATATGGTCAATTTTGGCCTCCTTGTTCACCTTAACTTTGACGTGAGTCCCATCCAAAGCCCCGATGCATCCATCAAAGAATGGTGCATATGTTCCAAGTTGCCATTTCACTCCAGTATAAGTGCTATTTGCTGGAACAAGAACAGAGTGTGCCCACCTACACATAACCTCGACGACATGACTCATCTTCCTACTAACTGTATCCAAAGACCGTTCGAATCTATCCCTGCTCCTTCTAGTTGCCTGGTTGTGCGCACAAGTCCACGCATAAATACCTAAACATTCTAGGGATCCGGTCTCTCGTGTACCCTTTAGGCCACACATAAATGCAGCAAGTTATCAGGAGACATACGCAAGTTGTCCATGCACTTCCTTTCGTTTCGCAGATTGACTTCCATCCACAATGTCAATGAAAATAAGTGTGCACAATGGGGAATCATAGATACAAAAGCAGGTCAAAAAAATCATAGACACAGAAGCAACAAGAAAAAGCAGTAGTAGTTCTAGGTCCGAAAATTCATAGACACAGAAGTGGATCATGTTCAGCTTAACTATGTGATAGTTGTCCCAGATATTTTTGTGGTAGTACAAAAACAGTTACTTTAAATAAGTCTGTTTTTTTGTTGATCCTGTTAGCAGTATTTTGCATGGAGCACCGGAGGAGCCCAGTGAAGTTCTAGCTATACTATGTGGACTGCGGGAAGATGTTGTGCAGCCCTGTTGTTTTTGTTCTTCCAAGTTCCAACCAAGGTGGTGTTATGTGGATTTGTTAGCACTTGAGCAGAGAAAATAGGCAAGCAATACAACTAGAATTCTGTCTTGTCTTATGCATGCCTTTTTGCACGGTCTGTCTGCGCTCGAATGCCTCGTCCATAAAGAACATAGACAAAGAAATAAACTGAAATGAAACGACAGGTGCATGTGCAGACACTCCTATAAGAAAAATAAATATGGATCCTAAAAATTCACTCAAAAGCTATAATACACCTTGTTATAGTTCTTCAGTGCATACTAAAATATTTGTTTTCTTTGTTTCCAGAGGACTTGCACGAGAACGAACCTAGTGTCCCCGAATCCGGCGAAGCGGTAGGCGATTCCGACGAGGTGAGATGCGGATCCGTGGGCGGCGCTCGGGAAATACCTGCAAACCGAGCACGTGGGGATCAGATCCGGAGGGGGGGGGGACGACGTCCTTGGAGCCGGAGGGGGAAGGGATGACGGAGGCGACAGATTGAAGGGGGAAGACGGCGGCCTTAGAGCCGAGGGGGGGGGGACGACGGAGGCGGCAGATCCGGAGGGGGGGAATCTGGCAGCCTCAGAACCGGAGGGGGGGGACGACGGAGGCGACAGATCCGGGGGTACCTTGTTGCCGGCGGACAAGCGTCGACGGCGACGGGTTCTGGGAGGGATGCGGACCTCACGTTCGTCGCGGAGGCTGTCGACGGCGAGGGGGCCACCCACGGCAGAGAGAGGCGGGAGGGGATGGAGGCGTTGACAGCTGCGGGGGCAGGCACGGCGAAGCGGAGCTGACGACCGCCGTGGCGCGCGTGGAGGAAAGAGGAGGGGCGAGCAAGCGCAAACCCTAGCCGCGCGACGGGTAAGGGACTGAGGGAGGGGAGCTGAACACGGCGCGGGCGGTAGGCTTCTAGGTCAGCCGTTCGGCTGGACTAGGCCGCCGAACGGCTAGGCTGATCAGCCGGCTAAAAACCAGCCCAGCCAGCTGTTTCATACAAGCCGAACAGGGCGTAAATTCCTTCCCTGCTTCCCAAAAATCAATGGCAGCTAACAAGATCGGCAGACCAGAGCTGGTCTCCTTTGCCTTGCCTGTCATCATTGGAAGACAAGAACAGAAGCACGCTGGTCAGGTGGCCATCCATCCATCCACCACCATGGAAGCAGAGCAGGAGCAGGCGCTGCCCCAGATGCAAACGCCCGTGGCAGACGACAACAAGAACAAGGTTCACCTGGCGATGGGGGGCGATGTCCAGCAGTGCTTGCTCTCCCTTCGCTGGGCACTGCGCAACGTCCCACGGAACTTCACGCTGGTTCTTGTCCATGTCTACCGCCAGGCCACCAGGATCCCCACAAATGTAAGCTAGGTCTATAATATTACATGTTTTACTTTAAAGTTTTTGCTGTAAAAATATATTTATGCAGCTAGGTTTGTAATGCTAGTGGTATTTGTCTTTTTCATAACTGTAGATCTAGGGCTCCAAATGAAGTGAAATTTTTGTGGCATGCTACTCATGTGATAGTTGATGTGTGGTAAAAATTTCATGAGTATTGGATGAAGTAT